TGATACTTTGTTGAGGAGTTTTGAATCTTTGAGGGATGCTGGTCTCTGTCTTAGCCAATTCAGACTGCGTAACAGAGTATCGTAGACTGGGTGGCTTATAAACAACAGAAAAGTATTTCACACAGTTCTGGGGGCTGGAAGCCCAAGATCAAGGTACCATATGGTTGAGTTCTGATGAGAGCAGCTCTACCAGTTTGCAGACTGCCAACTTCTCATTGCATCTCACATGGCAAAGAGCAGAGTAAGGGATTCTAATCCCTTTCATGAGGGTACGCCCCCCCCCCCAGACCTCATCTGATCTTAATTACCTCCCAAAGGCCTCACCTCCTAAAGCCAACCTATCAGGGGGAAACAAACATTCAGTCCATTGCGGTCTCTGATCCCTTCTCTTATAAATATTTGTTGAATTTTGTTTCCAGTGTTACACTGACCACATAAAACAACTTGTTAAGCATTCCCTTCCCTGGTTTCTGAAAGTGTATGTCTGATTAATATTATTCTTACTTTTCACTTGATAGAATTTACCAATGAAACCATCTTGAGTTTTCTTTGCAGAAAGGTTTTTTTATTGTTACAAGTTCACGTTCTTCAATAGTTATATGGCTATTCCAATTTTTTACTTCTTCTTGAGTCACTTTTGGTAAACTGTGTTTTTCAAGGAGTATATTCATTTCATCTAGCTGTCAAATGTTTGGCACAATTTGTTCCTAATATTCTTTCATTTTTCTATTAAAAGTGGTTGGACATATAATGGTATCCCTTTTATTTGTAATATTGGAATTTTATAATTGTCTTTTTACATCTTGATTTGTCCCATTGGGCTTATCAATTGTATTAATCTTTCAAAGAATGAATTTTGAGCTTTGTTAATTTTTTTGTTTCTAAATTATGAACATCTATTCTGACTCTATTATACTTTCCTTCTTATTTTAGGTTTAATTTACTCTCTTTTTATAGTTCTTAAAGTGAAAATTACATCAAAATTGGAAACCTTCCTGCTCTTATATTATAGGTATTTAAAGCTATAAATTTCTCTCTAAGTACTGCCATTACTTTACCCCATGAATTTTGATATGTTGTATTTTATTATCATTTAACTCAAAATATTTTCTTATTATCTTATGGTTTCATATTCAAGCCATGGGTTACTTAGATATGTATTATTTAATTTGCAAATGTTTAGAAAATTTCTAAATACTTGAATTACTGGTTTCTGGTTTAACTCTATGGTCATAGACTACACTCTGTAATATTTCATTGAAATTTCTTGTATGACCTAGTGTATGTCTACTTTGATAAACATTCCATATGCATTTAAAAAGAATGTTTATCCCACAGCTATTGTATACAATGTTTGTAAATGTCCAGTAGCTCAAGTTGTTTGATAGAGAGCTCAGATCTATATCCAAGCTAATTTTTGTCTACTTATTCTATTAATTATTGAAAGAGTGGTATTACATTCTCCAAATATTTTTTCCATTGGTTCTGTCAGTTTTTGCTCCATGGATTTTGAAGCTTTGCTATTAGATGCATATATATTTATCATTATGTCTTCCTAATGAATTGATCTCTTTGTGATTTATAAATGTCCCTCTTTATCTCTTGGAAAACACTTTGTCATAAAGGCTACATTTTCTGAAATTAATACAGCCATACTAGCTTTCTTATGCCATTTCCCTGGTTTATCATTTTCCATTCTTTTATGTTCAATTTATGCATATCTTTAAATTTAAAGTGCATCTCTAACAGATTCATATGCTTGTATCTTGAATTTTTATCTAATCTTGATAATTCCTGACCTTCAACTGGAACATTTTACATTCACTGTCATATATATTACATTTATATCCAGTATAATTATTGCCGTGGTGTGTTTAAGTGTATCACCTTGTTAATTATTTTCCATTTGTCTCTTCTGCTTTTTCATTCTGTTGCTCCTTTCATTGGTATTTTGTTTCTATTCTTCCTATTAGAATACATTAGAATACAATACATATATTGTATTATATGTTCACCACCCCAAGTCAAGTCTCCTTCTGTCACCATTTATCCCCCCTTTATACTCCTCCACCTCCCTCCACCCATCCCCCTTTTCTTCTGGTAATCTGTAGTCTGTGTCTATGAGCTGTTTTTGTGTTTGTTTTTTGCTTAATCCCTACATCTTGTTCACACAGCCCCATAAACCCCCTCCCCTCTGACAGCTGTCAACAACCTCTATTTTTTAAATTTTTTTATGAATTTATTTTTGTTACAGATATTTCTCCTTTTCCCCCCATTAATACCCTCTGCCCAATCCCCCGCTCCCAACATTGTTGTCTATGTCCGTTGGTTACTCATACATGCATATATGTTCTTTGGTTGTATCTTATTCTTTAGCTGCTTTAAAGTCTACTAAATCTAACATTTGAATCACATCACATTGTGTTTCTGTTTACTACTACTTTTTTGATTGACTATGGTTCCTGTTTCTTATGTCTTTGCACATCTGGTAATTTTTTTTTTACTGTGTACTGGACATTGTTAGCGATACATTAGTGAGACTCTGCATTCTGTTATCTTCCCTCTGAAGTGTATTGATTCTTGGTCAATTACTGGCTAATAACCTCTGAATTGTGTAGGTTCACTTTTAGGCTTTGTAATGGGGGATATGTAAAAATCTGGGGTGTTTCCCAAGCACTTCTAATTGGCAAAACTGGACCCCCAAAATCTGTCACCTCTGCACAGGGCTTGGTTCAGGCTTTGTTCAGGTGGCTGTAGGGCAGTGGTCTTCAACTTGAAGATAATTTTCTCCCAAGGTGACATGTGGCAATATCTGAGCACATTGCAGATTGTCACAACAGGACATCAAGGGGGAGCTACTGGCATTTACTGGGTACAGGCCAGGGATGCTGCTAATGTCCTACAACATCCAAAACAGCTCTATACAAGAATTATCTGGCCCAAAATAGCAATAGTGCCAAAACTTAACAACTCTTGTCTCACTTAGGCCTTACTCTAGAGCGTGGTTTTGCTCTGCCTGGGGATTAATGAGGTGTGGTCCACTCTGCCGGGATGAACCACTGATGGCTTCAATCACTACTTGACTTCTAATCTCTCTGGTGAGCTCCTCTCTGGTGAGTCTAAACTAGTCGTGCTCTGAAGATGCTGTTTTTTGATGGGAGGATTTTTAGTTCATATTATTTTCTCAGTGTCAATCTTTACTTTCTTTTGAACATCGAACTTAATAAGTGTGGAATCTCTGAAAGCATACCATTATATTTGTATTATGATGTATATTTGATGATGTTTATGACTGACTATTGAATATCAGATTCTTAAATTCAAAACATAGCTTAATCTGATGACACAGCAAGGTATAAACATCCTATCTATGTGCATGAATAATTGCCTATTTGATTAGGAATTAACTTATACATATAGGTGTGGATATTGTCGTTGGATCAAAAACCTGATCTTTTGCATTACATTTCATTAACATCTCATATTTTCTTGTTTTTTATCAGTGTGCTGGCTTTCTAACCCACCAAGGAGTTCTTTCTCTCCGCCTCTCTTTGTTTTCATGATTTAATATGCAATTAAAACTATTATCCCCACTCTAATCATAGTTTTAATCTACTACCTTCACTGGCTTCTAATCTACCTTACCTAGTAAAACACAGGTTTTATAGGGAATTAGACCATTAAGATATTCTGATTTGAACAGTGGAGATAATATAAATCGGCCAAAAAGGTGATATCTAAATACTAAATTATTTATTGCATTAATTTGACTTTTGTATCTTTCCATGGTGCTTCCTTCTTTCCTGAAAAGACTCCTGGGTTGTATATGCACCTGACTTTCTATGATTATTCAAAAGTGTCCCTTTCGTATGTGTGTTTGTTTGCCAACTCAGGAAAATAAGGTCAATTTAATTTTCATTTAATTTGCTTTGCTCAATATAAAACAAAAGTAGTACTCAGTTTCTACTTGATGATTAGAATAATGGCAAAGCTTACCAAGGCTAGAAATATGGATGGTAATTTGAATATTTATAATCCATAAGTCAATAGAAGAAAGAGAATTAGCTATATCAAAATAGACATAAAGCCCAGCTGGTGTGGCTCAGTGGACTGAGCATCACCCCATGGACTGAGAGGTCCCCATTCCATTCCCCATCAGGGCACATGCCCAGGTTGTGGGCTCGATCCCCAGTAGGAGGCGTGCAGGAGGAAGCCAATCAATGTTGTTCTCTTACATTCATGTTTCTATTTCTCTCCCCCTAAAAAAAAAAAAAAAATCAATAAGATATATTTTTTAAAAAATAAACATAAATATCATAAGAAAAGTAATATTTGAAACCCAGTAAACATGTAACAAAACTGTTTTTTTTAAAAAAAAAAACTTTTGCCCTGGCTGGTTTGGCTCAGCGGTTAGAGCATTGGCCCATGGACCAGAGAGACCTGGTTTGGTTCCCACTAGGGGCACGTACCTCAGTTGTGGTTTGTCCCCACCCCAGTTGGGGTCATGTGGGTGGCAGCCACTCAATGTGTCTCTGTCACATAGATGTTCTTCTCTCTCTTCCTCCTGCTCTGTCTGAAGGTAAATGCAAAAATGTCCTCAGGTGAGGATCAAATAAATAAATAAATAAATAAACTTTCTCGGTTTTATTATTTTCATGATATCCCATTAGGTGGCTAGCTGCAAAAGAGATCCTTTAATGGTCAGGATCAATATGTAATTCTTTAAGCTGCCATTCATTTTAATGGTAAAGTTGTGTGTATTTCAATAAATCATCAGTTCGTAATTTTTGTTATAAAGAAAATAAGGCATTCTATAGCTAAATATCTTGAATACCTGACTTCTGCTTGTTTTACTATTTACCACATTATGCTTCAATTTTAAATTAAAAAAATACATCTGTTTTCTCAAAAAGATTACAAAATTAGTACTTGCAAAATACGTATTTCTTTTCCAATTACTTTTATTGATCTTACAGGCAGAATAGTATCTTGATCTCTCTATTACATTCCACAACACCAAGAAATCTACAACTCTAGTCTCAATATCAGTAACTATGAAAAATCAAGCAAGCAATTTACAACTATTGGCAGCTAGGGAAGTTGGATTCCAAAGGCATAGCATTGCAATCACAATAAAATAGTACTTACACATTAAGACACAAATAGCCAACGTAAATCTAGTACCTTGGGCATTTTTCTAATTGTGACAGTTACACATATTTGGGAAACTGAGGAGCCCACTGACCACTCACCAATGATGGTGAAAAAGGAAACACATAAAAGTGCCAATTTTGCAGATAGTACAAGTTCTGCTCTTTAGCTTGACATTGTGTGGTAGTGCTATCCCTTCCAAAGCATTAGAAATCAATACCACATGTGCCTCAAGCGTTTCTACAGATGAATGATTTGATGAAGGTGTCCTCATTTCGGAAACTGAGGTCATTCATGTTTGTCTTCAGTGGAAACATTTCAGGAGTCTTGCTAAACCTAAAGGACGCCCATCTCAGACTCCTGGATGAACAGTGACATCTAGTGGTTGTGACATCCCTAAACAAACATTTCAAAAGTGGGATCTCAAGGGCAATCATAAAACAAGCGAAATAACCGTGATGCATGATCTTTAATATTGATACAAACATATTTCCAATGCAACTGTACCAGAAAATAATAGACACTCCTTCCTAGTATATTTTCTCAGATGCAGTAATAATATAAATGTAAGGAAAAGCCAGCACTGGTTTCTAATCTTTATTCTTAATGAATAACCCTTACTTAGGTAATTATCCTTTGAAGTTTTTATAAAAATCCAATTTTGGTTTCTTTGTGTACGAGACCTTACTTCTAACGGTAAAAAGTAATACTATGAACTACTGAATAATCCATTTTTTGGATCTTTTATGGATACATGAATTAGAATGTTCCAGCAACAAACTTCACTATTCAACAGTGCACTGAGGAGCAAAATTAAGACATTATTAAAGCTGCCAGTCTATTAATAATTGTTGGATTGAGTTTACAGTGGAAATGTTATTAATTTTTTGTAAACAGAGAGCATCCAGTTCATTAAGCTTTTCTGAAACAACTGGATTATGAAATGGAATTATAGAACACTTTGACCGTCAAAAAATCATTGTTTCCTAGGCATGACTAATTCTTGTTCATGGAAAAGTCGGTCCAGTCTTTGGCTGTTTTGCACAGCCCATCTGAGGCAGTCTGAGCAAGCTAACGTTCGCTGGAATCTTAGCTCCTCATTCTCTGTACATACTTTCTACCAGAGACCGAACCTGCTCCCAAGGCCTTCCTGCCCAGCTCTGGAAATCTCTGTCTTCCCATCACCACGAAAGACTGTCCCCGAGCCAAACTGCATGATGCAGCTCTATGGTGGTTCAGGGGACACACTGAAATCATCCCTTCCAGATGGACTGAGGTACCCCCCAAATGCTTAGATGTATATGAATGAATATCGGTGGACGTCACTATCTAGCCATTCATTTTATCATCCCTCAATTAACCACCAACAGCTAGACCTTTCCCTTCCTCTGGAACATTATGAAGCTGTGTTGATGATCATACACAGACGCAAGCCCAGGACAATAGTTTTTGGGTTAACACACCTGTCTCCCAAATGCAGAATGGCCATATTTAGTACTCCCAGGTCATCAAAGCCACTACCCAGCTACATGCCATGCTAGTGATTAGCTGGGACAGTCACCTGATGCCACTTGTGCATAAAGAGCGCTGCAGAGGCCAAGTCCCCAGTGACTAGACATGACCGTACATAGGCACCATCAAACTGGGGAACCATGAAAAGAAACTTTGTGATATCACTTTAGATTTTCATATCAGTCCTAGGCAGACGTGTCCTAGTAGGCATCTCACACCCAAGTATACTAGCAGTTCATCTTATTAAATCAAGGAGTGTTATTTATATGCATTTAAAGTTAACACTAATGTCAAAGGAGGTGCTGTAACTATCCAGCCTGGGGTTTTCTCCAGCCCTCTCCGCCTTGTAACTCCTTAGTCTTATTTTCCCAAGGTTCTCAAGTCCAGGAGGATGTGGGCGTGGGCACAAGTCATCGCGGTAATGTTTGCTTAGAGGACAGGCAGCGTGCGCTCCGGAGGCTCCTGAAGTTGCCTGCGCTCCACTGTTCTGCCCTGCACACTGTGGGCGGCATGGTCCCTCTCCCCCTTCCCTTTGCCTCCTACTTCGCCTGAGTTGGGAGTGCCCACATGGAGCACAGCTGCACCCTGCTGCTGTCTGGACCCCTGCTGGGTAACAGGATGACATCTGGATCCCAGGAGCAATGCTGCTAACTACCCAACATTCAGCATATCTAGATAGTTTCAGATAAAAGAGCTATAGGGAATCTCAGGTTATTATTACTATCTGCTTATAATAGTAACCTCCCCCACAACAAAATCCGGAACTTGAACTGGCATTTTGAGTTCAAGGGCTATTCTCCACCTATCAGCCTCGACATACCTCGACCTTGGCGTGTGTTTGAAGGACGGATTAGTTCAGGTTTGCAAATCAGGAATCTCAGTGTTACCAGCCCATAAAAAAAAAAAAAAATGTCATTGCCTCCTCTCCCCACATAAACTACTCGAAGAGTAAAGTAAAATATGGTTTTTGCTAGTTTCCCAGGGACATTCTTCCCTGGCCTGGCAGAGTGGACAAGGTCGAGCTAAAGGTAGGATGAGTTCCTCCACTGGATCCCCGCAAGCCTAGAAATAATGCCGTCTGGGTCTAAGTGCTAATATCATGCTTCCAAGTCTCTTTCTGAACAGCGTAAAAGCAAAATACCCCACGCCCGCAAGCACGCCGAGCACGAGGGTGGTGCCCAGCACTTTGGGCGCCCTCTTCCGGGCCACCCGGAGCGCCGTGGGCAGCACCGCGGAGATTAATATATTGTTGACATGCCCTAAAACCTTGTTGAACGTTTTCCTCTTCAAGACACGCTCGTAATAGGTTTCCAAGTTGGGTCGCTTTCCATTTCCCCAGTTCCTCCTGGCAAACCCCAGGAACTTCAGTCGATGCAGCGTGACGGCCAGCGAGACGTCGGCCAGGGTGAAGGACGCTCCGCAGAGCCAGGGCGGGCGGCCCTCGTCTGGTCAGAGAAAAGGACACGGAGTTAGGGCCAGGCCGGCACAGACCGGCTCAGTCTGGAGGGCCGGTGTGAGTGCCCCAGAAGGCCAGGCCGAGGTACACTTTCTCGATCGTCACGCTCAGAGAGTCATTTTAGGCTAAACACAAAGTCCATGCAAACGTACCCCAAGCTAATGGAGACTTGACATCTGCCAGCCACCCAGGTCCCTAAGTGAAACCGGGGTCGCTGGAGCTGGGAGCCTGTCTATCATTTTGTAAACAGTTCTGAGAAGCTGAGAGCCTCCAAACCGGAGGAGTTAGCAGATATTTCCTTCTGGTTTATGAAAACAACAGGTGAGCTTTAGGAATATCCATGAAGTTGGGCCCAAAATGCCACTTAGTGAGTGCTCTCGGTTACTTATTGAAAGCACAGCAGAGTCGCTATTGTGAAGCAAGTTCCTGGTAACACGCTCTTGGACTTGGTTGTCCATTGGAACAGTGCAAGGGGACGTGGCTTTGCCCCCGGGCCTGGGCTGCACCGGGACGTCAGGTCCACAGGCACAGAGCGCGGATGCTCACCGCCGGCCTGCACGTCTCTGCCTGCTGGCCCCCCTATATACTTGACTGCAGGTGACACGTGGTCTCCCTGCCTAAGGAAAAAATCAGAGGGAGCAGTCAAGCAATGACTCGGGTTATTCAAGTTATTCAACCAAATTAACTACTGTAACTACACATTCGTGGAACAGGCTAGGTTGGAACTTTGCAACCAGAATTTAAATTGTGCAGAAACATTCTTCATCAGCCATATTTCACATAGGAGCAGACTGACTGACAATTAGACATCTGGGTTTTGCTGCATTCAATGTTGCTGTTGTTTTCCTAACTCAGACTGCCCATGGAAACAACACTTACAGAACATTTTTATTGACGTTTAAGACTGCTTCCATAAATACTCCTGGGAAAGAGAAAAAGAATACAAACAAGAACCTACCTGGGGTTTCTTCATTTCTTCTTTGCAACTCAGTTTCAACCTGATCCAAGACTTTCTCCAACTCATCAAGAATTTTCTTCAAATATTTGACATTGTCGTGGTCAAGTAGCTTGGACTAATTAACAGAAATAACTCAATAGATTATTGACGCCTATCCAAACAAGCGATGTAGAGCAAAGCAGATATAAGCTATTGCAGAGTTGGGAACTGTTTATTCTAGACAACGAGAAGAATCAGAATAACTTCGTTAAAGCAAGAACACAGTTGGGGGAAATGCCCTGGCTGTGGAAATACCCAGGGACCGAAGACTCTGAGGGGCGCAAAGAGACTGCTGTCAGCCCTACTCAGCATGGAATTCCGGCAGGGCCCCCTGAAGGAGTAAGCCGAGCAAGGGGAGGCTCGGGGAAAGGGAGAGACCTGGATGCAGCGAGGGAAGGAGCTAGAGGGAAGTGAGGAGCGCTGTGTGTGCGGGTTTAGTTTTTTCTGAGAAGCTCATCTAGCTAAAGGAGGTGGCTGAGGGAGGGTGGAGGTGTTGCTGTTTGCTTCATCTTTAATATGGAGGAAGCCCTGGCCGATTTGGCTCCGTGATTAGAGTGTCAGCCCGTGGACCAAAGATTTGCAGGTTTGAGTCCAGCCAAGGGCTTGCACCTCAGTTGTGGTTTGTCCCCAGCCCTGGGCAGGGTCGTGCAGGAGGCAACCAATCAATGTGTCTCTCTCGAATCAATGTTTCTCTCCCCCCACCCCCACTCTATCTGAAGATACTTGAAAAAATATCCTCAGGTGAGGATTAAATATATATGTACATGGGGGAAGCTCGCAGGCATTACTGGGCCATAGGAAAGGATCAACAGAAAGAGAGGCTGACAGTAACTGATGAAGCGAAGCCCCGCCCCCTAGGAGGCCGCCGAGCCTCACACAGAGCTCCGCCTAGGCCTGAATGTGGCAGAGTACCTGAAATGACAGATTCCTCGAATATTTTATTAACCTGCTTTTACCTTTTATAAATTTCCTTGGCCACCAGCACGCTCAATACCTGCTTCAGAAGCAATTGCCATCAGGTTTGAATAGCAAACCTAACAAAGAGAACTTATTTCTAGAAGCACGGCATAAGCAGAGGCAAACAGTGGCTGGTGACTTGCGATGGGTAACAGGTGCTCTGGCAATAGTGGTGCTGGGCAAAGACAGAAGGTCAGCGCGCAGTGCGGGTCAGGTGAGGACACCTGGTCTACTTACTTTGAGTCGCTTCTGTTTTGCGATGTAGGCCTCTTGTAAGTCTGGGTTTTCTTCAGCAAGTTTCCTCAGTTCAGACTCCGTGTTACCAATTTGGCCTGATAATGAAATCACGTTTGAAACAAAATTATTTCCTCCCTTCTGTGTGAGAAACCAGGGGAAGCGGGAAATCCGATGGTAAGAGCGTGAACTCGGGGTTCCTGCCCTGCCTCGGGCTTCCCCTCCCTGGGCCTCGCTTGCTCACCTGGAGCTGGGACTGGCAGAGCATCTGCCGCTCCGAGGCGCCATGGGAAGCACCATGGACAGCAGCCAGGGCGAGGCCAGCACCCCCTACTGCTTGGTGCGTGGCACTTGGTCAACTTTCAATACCTTTCAAGTTTTCTGTAAGGAACTTCGAGATGAAGAGAAGGAAAAAGCCTCATTTAAAAAATATATAAACTCTAGGTGATAAAATCCTATCTATCGGGATACTTGTTTCAAACCATATGTGAGTGCTTATAAAGAGAAGGAAGGGACCCGAAGAAGGTGAGGATCGGGGAGAGAGAGGAGAGGAGTGGAGACGAGGAGGGGAGGGAGAGAAGACCAGGAGGAGAGGTATCAGAAAGAAAGAGAACAACATGAGCGTGATCAGGCTGAGGCATGGTTTTGGAAAGAATGTAGTTTCTAGATTTAGAAGATCTAGGTGTGTGGTCCTCACAGGGTCTAACCACAGCCACCATCCCAACCTTCCTGTCCCCAGTGATGGTGCCACCGAGCACCCCTCCCTCTTCTCCACACCCTCCTCTATCCTCAGGACAGGACAGGAGAGAGCTGGATATCTCAACTCAAGCTCTGTAATTCTGCAGTCGCTGACTCTGGAGGTAAAGGGTAGACAGCTGTAGTTCAGCTCCCTCACACAACGAACAGAAGGGAAGAACCAGATGTGCACTCAGCTGCCTATACTCCCCACGGATCCCAGCTTTCCTGATCCCCAGTCCATCTGTCCCTAAGAACATGCTATGGTCTTTACTTTTCCACAGGCCACTCTTCTGAATTTTATTCAAACGTGGCCCTCAAAACCAAGAGCTGAAAAATCAGGACCTATAGACAATAAAGGTCCAGTTGGACAGCTGAAGCACAGATTCATCTGGGTGCAAGGACCGGCCTGTACCATGCACGCCCGTGAAGCAACCTCAACAACTCTCTTCCTATCCTCTCTCACTGGTTATGAAATATGCTAGGTCTCAAAATGAATTAAAAGAAACTCAAGACCGAATTGCAGGTCTTTAAGATGTTTACATACTGCGAATCCTTGTTGTTGCATAAGCTGGGATCATGGAGTCCACAGTCAGCTCAGGATGTAAAATGCAGCCGTGGGTATAGGCATCCATCGGCAAGGAGTCGAGCAGTTCCCGATAGTGCTGTACCCGTGGGTAATACATGCTTCCTTTATCAGGCATTAACCTGGGTGTTTTTTCTAAAGTTCATATAAAAAAAAACACATACACAAACATTGAAGGAAAAGTTACAAATGAAATATTACATCGAAAGCAAAAACCAAAAACCCAACCATCTCATCATTAAAATCTTCAATATTACATCAAGGCATTTAGAAGATATATCCCCAGCCCAGACATTCGAATTTCAAAATGGCCTGATGTACCAGACCGGATCCCAAATCATGATCATGATTCTCGCACTTCCCGCCTTACAAATTACTACTCAACCCTCAAGGTCTGGTTGTTAATGCCAGCCTCCCCGCCCTGAGCATTCCCTGACCCCCTGCAGCTACCTGCACCGGACAGGGGCAGGTGTGCCTTCCTCTGTACACACAAAAGGCCTTGTACATACTCCGTCAGAGCCCTTATCACCTAATTACTTGTATCTTTTTGCCCCATGAAGCTCTTCAGGGTAAGGGAACTGTGGCCTGGGGCCCAGCACAGTGCCTCACACAATTTGAGCCCTTGGTAAAGGTTGGTTAAGAATGAACACTCATCATTAAAAGATGTGCAAGGGCTACTCTTCTCTGGGTTCCAATTAATACCAAGAGCAACCCTGTTGGTGCTGATGTGAATGTGAAATGACAGTCTCACGGAATTTCTAATATTTTATCTCTGGAATGTGGGTTCTACCGAAATCCTCATTTGCTGGTTAAAATCTAGACTGTAGACTCCTTGAGGGCAGGGACCATGTTCTTCGTCGCACCCTCAGTACCTAATACCATATTTGGCTCATAGTAGGAGTACAGTAAATTTTAATAAATGAATTAACATACAGTCCCAAATTTCTAGTTATTATAGAATACAGCAGACCCACATATCCAGTCCAAAAATATTAAATGAAAAGTTCCAGAAATAAACAATTTATACATTTTAAATTGCATGCCATTCTGAGCAACATGATGAAATTTCAGGCTGTCCCCTCCTGTTAGTCACCTAGTGGCCATCTCAGTTACTGGATCAACTGTCCTAGCATCACAGTGCTTGTGTTCAAGTCACCCTTTTTATTTCAAAATGGTCCCAAAGTCATTCACATAATGTTTCTTATAGTATATTGTTAGAACTGTTCTATTTTATTATTTTTATTGTTGTCAGTCTCTTTCTGTGCCTCATTTATAAACTTTATTGTAGATAGGTTTATATAGGAAAAAACATGGTATATAGGGTTTGGCACTACCCACAGTTTCAGGCACCTGCTGGGGGGGGGGGGGTCTTGTATCTATCTCCCAAAGAAAGGGGACTAGTGTATTTGAGCTGGAGAAGCTCTGTAGTATGAAGATACTGAGATATAGAAACCAAGAAATTCTCCCAAGATCCCACAGCTAATTAGAGGCAGAACAAGAACTAAAGTCATCTATCCCTTAATACAGTGTTCTGTTTTATTACATCATCAAAAGGCTCATGTTTCAGAGACTAGCCAAGAATGATAAAGATGAACCAAATGACCCAAAGGCCAGGGCAATGCCCCTTCAGAATCACTTTACACTTCTGCCTCTCAAACTGCCCTAAAAAAAAAAAAATGCCAACTACCTTATTTCAGCAAGTGAAAAGAACAGCCTCAACTTTATTGATTGATTTCTTTGTTTGGGTTACTTATTGAATTTAGAATCTTTTTGAGGGTCGCTCATTCATTCATAAATGTTGACAATACGAAGTCGATTACAGAGCATTTCTGGCAAGATCTCATAATGCCAGACCAAGTAGAAGAAACTTTTGAAGCCAATAGGCTATTTCTAACTCTCTAAGAAAATAGAAGATGTATCACTCTTCAAACCTGCTGGGTTGTCCAGTTCTGAAGTTCGCATTAGAATCATCAGGAATGAAGTGTCAACTACACACTGCCTGTCAACAGTGGATTTACCCAACTAGGGCACATTTCCTTGCTGACCTTTCAAGATCTCTTGATCTCAATGTAGCCCCAGGATGCCAACCAATGCGTGGTAGACACATCTTGCTTCCACGAGGACAACATGCTGAAGGCCTTCTGAGGTCCTTGAAATTCTGAGTTCTTAACTTTTCATGTGCCTCTGCCCTCTTCTCAAAATATTGTTCTTAAGTATATAAAAGGCAAGCTGTGTTAGTACTCCTTGTGGTCAAGCAATCCACTAGGAAAAGAACTAATTCTGAGCAGATGCTCCCCCTTGATTCTGAGCCCCAGTAAAAGAAGACCTGAACTGACCCTACTGTCCGGGGCTAAGGCCAGGCTGTATGAGGCAAACTCCAGCAAATCTACAAGATGTGGGATCATGAGAATAAATTCTTGTTGTTAAAAAGAATGTATAAAATACAAACATGGGATTATATAGGAAATTGATTATATTAAAATATAGTTATGAAAGTAATTTTAAATGATGAAATACTAATATGTTTGTTAATACACAACAGTGGGTCTACCATATTTCAAAATACTATGAGCATAAAGGATACTTTAAAATAGCTGCAACAGCCCTGACCAGTTTGACTCAGCAGTAGAACATCGGCCTGTGGACCAATGTTGCAGGTTCAGTTCCTGCTAAGGGCATGTACGTTGGTTGCAGTTTATCCCCAGCCCTGGTTGGGGTCATGAGGGAGGCAACCAGTCAATGTGTTCCTCTCAGATAGATGTTTCTCTCTCTCTCTCCCTCTCACTCTATCTAAAGATAAATAGAAAAATATACCCAGGTGAGGATTAAAAATAAATAAATTAAAATAACTGCAATAACTTGATATCCTATGAGCCCATCCGTGATTTCTTTTGGTAACAAAGTTGCAGGCACTCCTGCTATTGCTGTGGATTATGCCTACACTAGAAATGAAAGGAAATAATATATTTCTACTGGAAATTAGTGAAAATAAGACACACTATTTCCCCCATCCAAGTCCTCAAATCTCCTGAAATCTAGTCATCGACCACGAAGGGCAAGGTGTGGTCTGAGCCTCCCTGAGCTTCCCCAAGATGCTCTCAGGGGCTCCACAAAGTCCAGCTGTTTTTATAGTAATTCCAAGATGTTGGTTGCTTTTCACTCTCCTCTCTGGAGTGTACAGCAGTGTTGTCCAGAGGCTACTGGACACACACTGACTCCTTCCTCCCACAGTTCCTGGCATGCAAATGCTTGTGCATTCTTGTGTTTTAAACTTTTCTCCACTTGAATTTCCAATATGGTAGATATTTATAGATTTGGTCCACATAAACTAATGCCCTCAGGTATTCTCAATAATCTTTAACACAAAGGAGTCCAGAAACAAAAACGTGTAAGAACCACTGCTGAGGAATCTAAGAACTTCAGGTTAATAACATAAATGGTCCAGGATTATAAAAATTCCAAACGGTTCAATTTCTGGCCCCAGGCACTGGCTGCCTCCCGGAACCAGGCCTGAGGCTCGTGTCCAGCACAGCCTGCCAAGGTACCCAGGAAAGGGACCGAGGGCAGGAAAAAGAAGTCTGGCTGCTTTCTGGGGAGGTTCCATGTGGCCAGGCCTAAACTCTTCCAAAAAGAACATAGGTTGAAATGCATGAAAATAACGTTCTTCTACTCGGAACAGCATTGCTAGGTAACTATCTCCAGAAATGCTGTGTCAGAGCAGAAAACAGCCAGGGTCCCGGGTTCTCTTCCAGTCCCAGCCTCTCCTGAGGAGGCCCTGTCCAGCCCCACAAGCGCCACCGTCCTCCTCCCACCAGAGCACAGTAGTGTCCGCTGCCTCCGGAAACAGTTTGTCAAATCACGACTGGGAATTTTCTTTGAACCATACAGATCTTCCCTCCCACTCTCATCATATTTCCTTTTCCAGTCCGTTCATCTTTGTTATACTGTGAAAGGTAATAAACAGAACCCTCATTTAAATGCAGTCAGGAGGCCCTGGCCGGTTTGGCTCAGCGGTTAGAGCGTCAGCCTGCGGTCCTGAGAGACCCGGGTTCGATTCCCGCTAAGGGCGCGTATCTCAGTTGCAGTTTGTCCCCGGCCCTGGTTGGTTGTGCGGGTGGCAGCCACTCGATGTGTTCCTTTCACATCGATGTTTCTCTCTCTCTCTCTGTTCCTCTCTCTCCCTCCCACTCTACCTGAACAAGAAATGGAAAAATGCCCTCGGGTGAGGATAAAAAAATAAATAAATAAATAAATAAATGCAGTCAGGAGACTAGAGGAGAGAACTCTCCTGCATGTGTCTCTCAGTGCTCACTACTGACCCTAATGGGAAGAGATGTACCTGCACCTCCAACAGGAAGTGACACTACTACCTCAGCTGGAGGAGGGAGTGGTAACAGCTTGGCCAATGAAAGGCTACCAGCACTCAGCCAATGAGAAGTCACTATACTCTGAACTTTCAGTTTCCTCCAATGGATTCTTTGTTTACAACAGCCCCTCCTACGTCCATCCAAGAGTGTTCCTCTTCTTTTGTTTCTCTGGTCTTGTACATGGTTCACCATTAGCCCACACATCCCGAATTGCAATTCTTTGCTGTTCCCAAGTAAACATATTGTGCTGGAAAAATATCTGGCTATTTGTTAAAGGTCAATAATATTTTTTTTTTTAAAGGAAAATATTTTCTTGGAATTGTACTCAGTCAGGAGTGGGAAAGCAATAGAAGGCTTACAAGGACAGGACAGGGAATAGGGGCTTTTAAGAAGCGGGCAGTGAGCCCTGGCCGGTTTGGCTCAGTGATTGGACCATTGGCCTGTGGACCAGAGAGTCCCGGATTTGGTTCCCACTAGGAGCACGTACCAAAAAAATTAAAAAGAAAAAAAAGAAGCAGGCAGTGAGAAGAGTCCCAGGCACTGAGGATAGGGTTGCAGCAGTGGAAGCCACCATTAGTAGTCAGTGGACGAACAAATAAGGAGAAATAAATAGTTGGCATAAGATCTGACTCCCTAAAAAATTGAGTAGAGGACAAGACAGGTCTTGTATTGCATCTAAATTTAGGCAGCAACTTAGAAACAGGCAAGAGAGAAACGAATTTTCAAAAAAAAAAAAATCAGGAGGAAACAATAAAAGCATTCTGCAGT